GCTGTAAAGATTTGTTCCATCTTTTGAGCTACTGCCTCCATAGGTATAGGTCAAGTTCATTAAATTGTATCAGATTATTCTTTTTTTCCCCTTCTTTCTTCTTCTAGTTGAGCTCTGATCATTCAGTCTTTGAAGCCAGGTTGAGTGGGTATTACCTGCAAGTGTGGGTGTTCTTATGCATATACCCTCTCTCCTTATCAGCTGGACACTTCACTCTTTACTCTAGTCCTCTGTGGCCATGTCACTGTTTTTGGGCCCAAGAGTCACCAGGTCTTGCCACACTGCTGGCCAACCAGGTCTCCACCTGGGTTCACAGGAGTCTACTGAACGTGGTCGGACTTAGCTCACAGCTTCATTGCTGTTTTTCCCTCACTTCCTCTTATCGGTGTCGAGCGTGGTCAGCATTCAGTCTCTCAGTTCACTTTATTACTATCATCCAGATACCCCCTAAGCCCTCACCATAGGGAAACAGGAGTGAAAACCATTCCCCTCCCTGGTTCACCGTAGCTGTGCTCAGTGTCTGGGGTTTTCACAGGGGAAAGAGAGGAGAGATGGGAAGTCAGGAGACACTGGGAGGGGTGGCAGCAGAGTGTCCCAGCCAGCTTTATTGGTTCAGAAGTGAGGATGTAGAATTAAAGCCTTTCAGGTCCTCTTTAATCTGGCCTCAAACCATCTCTCCCGCAGCTTCCCACCTCTCACCTTCACAAGCTCTTGACTCCAGGTACACATACCTATCATTACCTCCTTGAAGAAGACACTGGTGATTAATTATCCATTGCAGCCATCTTTTCCTCTTACTGCTCTCTACTATGTTAAGTCGGTACCGACCCATAGCGACCCTATATAGGGTTTCTGAGGAGTTGCTGGTGAGTTTGAACCGCCAACCATGAGGTTCAAACCGACCTTGCAGTCCAGTGCATTATTTCACAGCACCACACCAGGACTCCAGAGCTAGAAAGCAAATGTACAGTTCTCCCTTGCAGCTGTGAGTGGTTCTTAGTTCCAGTTCTGGACCATGAGATGTGGTGGAAATCTGAGAGACCTTCTGGGAAAGCTTTCATTTCCTCATGACATAGGACAGATGCAGCTGACAGTCTTTCCTCTCCCCTCCTTGCTCCTGCCTTGAGCATGGCTGAGATGGTAGGAGCTGCACCAGCCATCTTGCAACCATGAGGAACACAGCAAGACAAATGCAGAGAAGTCAGCATTGGGTCACTGAGCTTTCTTTTGCCTTAAAAAAAATTTTTTTTTAAAGGCTTATATTGTGAATTGAATGAGTGAAGGTTTACTGGGCAGATTATCAGTTTTACATTCAGAAAATCATTGCAATGATTACAACCCCCTCCATGCACCATTAGCTAACAGTATTTACTTCTGTTACTTTTTTGTGTGTATTTTTGATGTACACATACCACATTTAAAATATATATTTGTTTAAATGTCCAAAGGGCACATTTTTCATGCCAGCCTCCTGCCTCCAGCACACATTTCTCAGTTCATGGGCCTATAGTTCACTGCTGCTCTATGCTGTCGCCTCTGCCACCACCTCTTTTGTTACCACTTTTCTGGTTAGGAGCCACTGAGCTTTCTTGCTAGGTGAAAACATAAAACAATTGATTTAAGCTACAGTTGACTCCATATTCTGTTCCTTATAGCTTAATTCTTTCCAAAATGATAGATTCCTGGGATAGGTAAATCAGTAAACTAATTGCTGTCAAGTCAATACTGACTCAAGGTGACCCCATGTATGTCAGAGTAGAACTGTGCTGATTTTTTGAAAATAAGTCTCCAGGCCTTTCTTTTTTTTTTTTTTTAAATTCTTTGTGTGAATTATGTAATAGTTTACATGGGAGAACATTAGCTTTACATTCATCCTATTGTATATTGTTTCATTGCCATGGTTACAATCCCTTCCTTGCATCATCAACCAACCAAAGGGTATACCTACAACCCTGCCTCCTGGTCATCAGCACACAGCCCCTCTCCCTCTCTGGGTCTAGAGTTCCCCAGACACTCCATCTCTCCATGACATCGTCTCTGCCGTCACTGCTTCTCTGGGTGGGGTGCCGCACTCGGCTCTTCTCCCTTGATGATCCCAGGGCCCTCCGCTCCTGGACTGCAAAGTCAACCACTCCCCTCATTTTGCTACAAAATGTCTACCTTTACATTTCCAACCCTCACAGTCAGTCCTGATAGTAATTATTCACTATTGTATCACACGAATGCTATCCCCATCTCCTTTCATCAGCCCCCACCCAGACAGAGTGGATACTACTCAGTGGAGATCCTACCATCCTTCACGCCCTCTGTATCTAGGCTCCCCTTTGAAAGCTTGTAAGCCAGTCGCTTCTTGCCTTTTTAGCTCCCCCGCCCTCCGCCCCCCCCCACCCCATTTTGGGTAGCCAGTGTCCAAGTTGCCCATCTCCAGGCCTTTCTTTTGAGGTGCCTCTCAGTGGACCTGAACTTCTAATAGTTGCATAGTATGTAACCATTTGCACCACCCAGGGACTCCCCTGAGCTGCCTGTTGGGGATACAGGAAGACCACAGCAGCTGTGGGCCTCCTCCTTGTAGTCTTTGGAAGTATGCCAGACTTTTTCCTGGTCTTAGTCTGAAAACTGGGCCGAAATCCGTTCAGCATCACAGTAACATGCAAGTCTCCACTAACAAATAGGTGGTAGCTGTGCGTAAGGTTCATGGGTTGGGAATTAGACCCAGGTCTCTCAAACGGAGGACAAAAATTCTACCAGTGAGCCGCCACAGCCCTATGCCCATCAATAGTGCCTAGAACTCTATTATCTATAACACTGTGTTGTTGATGTTCAGTGCAATTGAGGTAGCTCCCACTCGTAGCATCCCTGTATAGGGCTTCCGAGGAACAGCTGTTCAGTTTGAACAGCTGACCCTGCGGTTCAAAACAACCTTGTGATCCAGTGCTTATCCTACAGCAACATACCAGGACTCCATAAGATTGTAGAACCTTAGAAATAATTATACTTAAGATTTTTCAAACATCTTTATTTTCTTTTTTTTTTAAGACAGAGCACTTATAAGTACCACAGATGAAAGCTCATATACAAATCACATTTTTCACTCAATAAAAACAAAACTTACAAATTCAATCATTTGAAAAAAAAAAAAAAAAAATCAGTTTTTAGTAACCCAGATAGTTGGGAACACATTTCTGGGTTTTTTTTTGATCTGGCACAGAATTCCTAACTCAATCACAAAGATGCAGCCTGTATGATTTCCTACCAGGGGACAAAGGGCCTCAGTACCTGTAACATACTTAGTTCAGAAAATTGGCAGTGATTGGCTTCGCAGGTTAGTTGGGCAGCTGCAGGCAGAGCTCCAGTTAACAGACACAAAGGCTCACTTCCAGGGGTTCTGTGGGTCACTCATGCCTTCACCAGCCAGACCTCATTGCGACGCCCATAGGGCTTCATGGGAGGGTCATACCCAGTGCAGAAGTAGGTATCATTCCGGCAGGTGGCTGTACCCTCCAAGGCAGTGCGCAGCTGGGCAGCATGAGCTACATAGTCGGCTTCTTTGGCATAACCACCAAACTGCCTGAGGACAGAGACAAGGGGCAGGTTAAGACAAGACAAGACCTTTGAAGGGGATGCAGAGAATCTTTTAAGAGAAAAAATCAGTCTCATGGCATTCTTACTACAATAAAGCATGTTACAGCGGTGAGACTGCTTTGCTGCTTCCTTGATATATGCGTTTGACTAAAGCTATCCCTGACCCATCTGAGGCTCAGTTCCCTCATCTGTAACAACAAGATATAATTTCCTTTTCCTCTTAGGTTATTGTGAGCTTCAGATGCAATAATGGATGGGAAAGCAGTACATGAAACATAGTCATTGATAAATGTGAGCTTCTCTTTCCTGACTGAAATTTCCCAGAGATGGTATCAGTGGTTGCTGTCAAGTCAACTCTGACTCAAGAAGACCCCATGTGTGTCAGGGTAGAACTGGGCTCCCCAGGGTTTTCAATGGATAATTGTTCAGTAGTAGACTGCCACACCTTTCTTCTGAGGTATCTCCAGGTAGACTGGAACAGCAGGCTCTGCTAACTGGATGGCCTCCACAGCCAGGCCCTCAATCTTTCCTCTAGCTCCACCTGCCACCCAGCTGCTGCTCTTCTCTGCCTCTCTGCTAGCAGCTGGGGAAGGAGGCAGGGCAAAGGGGAGTTAGGGTGGAGCTGCAGAGCCAGCCCTCTATAGTCTGAAAGAGAAGGTGTGTTGGACACAGCTTCTCCCACAGCAGAGCAGCTCTCTAAGAGAGTACATCCCAGCAAGGAGAAGGCTGTTAAAGGAGGGGACGAGGCAGTCTTAGGAGAACCCCGATGCAAGCTTTAAACATCCACCAAATCAAGAACTCACTTCTAATGAATCCCTTCTCCTGCTTGAATCATGAAAGCCTCCTTTTACTAGTAAGTAGAGATTTTTCCAAAATCAGGCTTTTCTCTTGATGGCAGAAGGTGGGGACAGATAAACAATAAAGGCTTTTGTAAGATTGTTCTTTCCCTTTTATGTCATCTGCCTACGCTCCAAAACTCATCCTGTGGTCGGTGTATCCTAAATACACCACTCTAAATCTAGGTTGCACTAAAATCTTTATTAGAGTCAAATACATACCCATTTCTAATGAGCTTTATGACTCAAAAGTATACATTTGCAGTAGGCTAAGATCAGACTAAATGCATTATTTTTGGTGGGGTTCTCTGAATCATGCTTTGCTGTTTATAAGCTGTTAGTCATGCTCAGCAAGCATCCAACACATTGATGACAGGGTTACTAATGTGAAAACACCCAGGATTTCATATTTCTGGGACCTGGTGATGCTAATGTCTAGACGATAGCTATGGAACCTGAAAGGAGCTTAAACTAATCTGGAGTAGAGAAGGTTCCGTTTTTTTCAAATACATTGAAAAAAGATTACAAGGCAGGTGAAGAAAGTTGATTTCTCTAGCAGCATTTCAGATCAAAAGAGAAGACACTGAATTAGTAGACAATGGATAAACATGAAAGAAAGATTTTTCTGGTGGTAAAAGATACTGTAAGACACTGGAATTACTTCTGAAGAATACCTTTGGATCACCTCTACGACATAAACCAGATGTTGGATGAGGAAGCAGGTGCTGTGTGCTATCTGCAGGCCCTACTGGTGCTGAGATACTGAACTGTATTCTCTGAAAATGGATGGCGTTGGCTCTTGAAGCTACTGGTTTTGAAATGGCCCAATGGAGTGGTCTGAGTATCTTCATTCAGCAGTCAGAGGCAAAATGGCAGTGGATGTGCTCAACTTCTAGCTCTATCTCTTTCTAGCTCATGGTACACTCCTCTAAACTACAAGTCCTTCATCTGTTAGAACGGGATGATGACAGAACCAATCTCCCAAGGCTGCTGTAAAGACTAAAGGAGAAAAGGCTAACCAAAGTCCTTGTTATTTGTTGTTAAGTTCCATCAAGTCAGTTCCGACCCATACCGGCCCTGTATAGGGTTTCCAAGGAGTGGATGGTGAGCAGTCCACCACATGAACCAGGATTAAAGGAAAAAAGGCCAAAGCAAGTGCTTAGCCCAGAGCCTATCACACAGAAAGCTCACAACAAGCAGCAGCCATGATTGTTACTTTGCAGTTCACTCAGGACAGCCTTTCAGTTCTCTTGATCTCCACAGGGAAGATCAGAATGGTAATCTACAGTAATATGGACTGACCGGGACTTTACAACAACATTCATTCATTCATTCATTCATACAATACCAAACACAAACTGAGAGGACATTCATGGAAATTAAAACTTGAAAAGTGGGTTGACTGGAGCTATACTAGGAAGCGTCTTGAATTCTCTGCGGAATCTAAACCTGATCCTGTATACAAATTGAACCTAAAAAAGTGTTTTGAAAATAAGGGCTGACATGATTAGACTGTGTTTTAGAAAGATCCATCTGTGATCACAGGGGTGTGGTAGGGAGGAGATGGAATCGCTGGAGGCCCAGAAGATTCAAGTACCAGATGATGAAGGCCTAGACAAAGACAAGAGATGAGAGATGGGTGGATGTAGAAGGGAGTAAGGGCGAGGGAAGAGATGAGGGCAATCCTGGCTTCTAAGCAAGTCTCTGGGTACACACTGATACTATTAACTAGAATAGCGAATATAAGCTAAAGAGTTACTTTAGAAAGGAGCGTTTGGTTTGAGGGCAGGTTGATATTAAGGTCTCTCTGTGAAATACACTCATGCCATGTATTGGGGACCTAAATGAGTGTCTGGCATTTTGAAAGTCCCAGGACACTAGGGAAAGAACTGGAGTCAGCGAGACTGATTTAGAAAAGAGATGAGTCTGGGAACAGAAATTTGGGAGTCAGCAGTGATTTGCTGTTGTTAGTTTCTATCGAGTCAACTCTAGTCATGGAAACCTTATGTGTAACAGAATGAAACACTGCTTGGTCCCAAACTATCTTCATAATCCTTGCTAAGTATTCTTGTGGTTATTATTACAACTTAAGGGGCTCATCTTCCAGCACTATGCCAGGTAATATTCTGTTCTGGTCCATAGGTTTTCTTTTTAATGCTTTATTATATTTTGTTATTGTTGAAAATATACACAGAGAAACCTATACCAATTCAATAATTTTGACAGGTACAATTCAGGGGCAGTGATTCCATTCTTTAGGTTGGACAAGTATTCTCGCTCTCCTTTTTGAAATGATTCCTCCACCATTAACATGAGCTCACTGCTCACTACATTTCTTCTTTCACCTTTGCAGTTGTCAGTTTGATCCCACAAAGCACAAAAGCTCCAGGCAGATATACTTTACTATAACTAAGCTTAAGCTATTGTTTAGCTAAAAAAGAAACTTTAGGAGACATTTTTGGTTTAAGGTTTAAAGAGTATCTCAGGGCAATATTTTCAGGAGTTTATCCAGTCTCTGTGGCTTTAGATTCCTAGTGTGGTGCTGTAGGATCTGTAGCAAACTACAGAGTCGGTGGTTCAAACCCATCAACTGCTCCTTGTAAACCCTGTACAGGATCGCTCTGAGTTGGAATCGACTCAACACCATTTAAGAACAACAACAATCATGGCTTCAGAAGGAATCCTGGTGTGACATTGCAGGATCAGCACTGGGCTGCTAACCTCAAAATTGGCAGTTCAAACCCACCAGCCGCTCTCTGGAAACCCTATACAGGATTACTATGAGTCAGAACTGACTCAAAAGCACTTGACAACAACAACATGGCTTCAGAAAGCCTGGATTCCATGAACAATCTACTGGGCTTTTATTGTCTAGTTTTTGGAGACAGATTGCCAGTTCTTTGTTCTTAGTCTGACTTAGTCTGGAAGCTTAGCTGAAACCTGTCTACTATGGGTGACCCTGCTGGTATTTAAAATACCAGTGGTATAACTTCCAACATCACATCAACATATAATCCATTAAACTATTCAAAATGAGATACTGGCTATATCTATAGGACGGGACAAGATGAGGCACAGATGCTGAGAAGGCAAGAGGGTAAGCAGGTTGCTCTTGGGAATACTAATACTCAAATCGTGTGAGGAGGAGGAAGACTTGCCAAAAGATGCTGAGAAGGAGTTGTTGAGTACATTTCAACTCTGTAATTCTATAGAACAAAGTAGAACCCACCAACCTGTTGGTTAGCAACTGAGCACATAACTGTTGGACCACGCAGGTTAAGTAATTGTTGTTGTTTAGTGCCGTAGATTCAGTTCTGACTCATAGTGACCCTGTAGAGGGTTTCCAAGGAGTGGCTGGCGAGTTTGAACCTCTGACCTTGTGATCCAGTGCTTTATCACACAGCGTCACATCAGGACTCCAAGTTAAATAATACAAGACAATATTTGTGATTTGCTTTAACGCTTTATATTTCTTCCCAGGCTGACTGAGATGCGTGTGATGGGCACGCTTATTTCCCTATTGTTTCACTATGGAAACTCTCTACTAGGAAACAAGCAAAGCAGGGTGGGCTATGGAAGCAGACACGGGTGCTCTTTACTGCCAAACTGACTAGCCCTGTCCCAAATCAGAACCCCACAAACAGGCCCCCACAAACCCAAATCCCACCAAGCACATAACCCTGGTAGATGAAGGAAGCCCAATTCTATCTGATCAGCTGTGCTCATTGACAAGGTGCCTCCTTCCTTCTTGCCTTCCAATCTGCACATCAACATCAACAATATAGTACTCACAACTCATCTGAATCATGAGCATGGTTGAGTGTGAGTTAAATAATGCTTCTAAAGTGTTTGAGGGCCTAAGAGGAAATAAACATGAAATATACGAGGAGGCTTCAAAAAGTTTTTGGAAAAAATTCCATTATCTTTGAATTCTCTTTTCCTGTGCACTTTCTAAAGCCTCCTTGTCTAGACTATCCCTGGTGGTGCAGTGGGGTAAGCACTTGGCTGTCAACTGAAAGGTTGGCAATCCAAACCCCCCATCACCCTGCAGGAGAAAGGCGATATAGCATGTTACCATAGTGATTACAGCCTTGGAAACCTTACAGAGCAGTTGTTGGAATCAACTGGATGGCAATGAGTTTATTATTTT